AAGCCTCCACGATTGGTTCTTTCCTCTGGTCTGATCCCATCTCACTTCCTGTGTTTCAGTCATCACGCCGGAGCTGAAGAGCTCATTGGTCAAAGTGCTGGGTCTGCTGAAGGACGCGGCGGAGAGCTTCTCCAAGGTACCCGAGCTCCGCCCACAGCTTCCTGTTCCTGTCTTTAACGTCCTGACTGTGTGTGTGTGTGTGTGTCAGGATTCGTGCGTGCGTCAGGCGACTCGCTGCATCCGCACAGCCAAGCTGGTCGCTCTTCAGCTCCACTTCCTGAATCAGGGATCAGACCTGCGCATCATCAACCTGCGACCTGCTGAGCTGCTGAGCGCCGCCATGGCGCTGCCGCGGTGCTACCAGGTGGGTTCCCGTTGTCCTTCCACAAACCTCCACCTGTCTGAAGCAGCAACTCGATCGCTTCTTGAAGCTGATTGGTTGGAAGCAGGGCGCTGTGACGCTGTGACGAAGGTTCCCGGTACTCGGGAGGTGGTTCTAATGTTGCGTACGATGGGCGGAGCCGCCATGACGGTGTTTCCTGTGTCTCAGGTGTTCGTGGTGTCGGAGGCGTACGGCTACAGTCCGGACTGGGCGGAGATTCTGTACCAGAAGGTCGTCCTGCACGGAGACTTTGGTTACCTGGAAGAGCTCAAACGCCACCGCCCGCTCACCTCCGCCCTGTTTGAGGACATTTTCAAAAAGTAAGACTCACACACAGAAAAACGACCTGACAACAGCCAAAATGTGACGTGGACTGACCTGCGCTGTGTGTGTTTCAGGCTGGACGGCGCTCCCGGCAGCGTCACCTCCAACGTCAAGCGCCTGCTGACCTACTGCGACGACGTGTACAGCCGCTACAGGCTGGCGTACCAGCAGAACCTGCACGACATCACCAAGATGCTGCTGCAGGACGCCAAGACGTCGAGCTACCTGAGTGACAGGCTGGGCAGCTGATCGTTACCTGGCCGCAGCGTCAGCGTGATCAATAACCGCCAACGACAGGAAACACTGTGGATGTACAGAATGTGTTAGTAGAA